TGATGCCGGACAGCTAGTGTTAAGGCTGCCCATACACCTTACGATTATCGGACGACACTTTTCGTCCGATGATCGAACCGTCGTACGGCGGCCCTATTATGCCCCGATTATCGCAAGGTTCAATTAACCGTAATTAAAGAAAAGCCCCTGGACGAATTGCGGTAATCAACCGCACGTATTTTCGTTTGCGCATGAGCAGTGTAGATCGTACGATTTTTGACGTACGGGAAACGCCATCAACCTTGCAATAATCGTACGATCGACCAAAGTTTTTTAAACATGCTTGAAAGTCAAAAGTTGTACGATTGTACAGTATTTGCGGTTGTACACTGCCCACACACCTTGCGATTATAGGACGAAAACGCGATTGCATACGATTATCGGACGATAATCGTAAGGTGTATGGGCACCTTTAGGAGATCTGACTGAGATTTGGTGATTTCTCTAATGTGCTGCACACTATTGTTATTTGCCTGAGGCTCTCACATGAGGAAGCAAAGCCTTGCCTCTACCAAGATGGCCACCTTCAAACAGTGCATAAAAAAAGGCATGGTAAGTCATGGGGCAATGATCAGCTGCAGGGAGACCTCATGCAATACTGGAGACTAGTCATTTGCCCTTCGCCTGCTTCTTTTTGGGAACAGATTCCAAATGTTGGTCCCTCTTTAAAATGTATTGAAAACAACAAAGCAGAATTTGACTCTAAAAGTGATAAAGTTTAAAAAGTGGAAATACCATTTAAATGATTTTACCCTTGTACTCCAGTCTCAACGTCATTCACCAAAAGTGAAGCAAACAGGTCTTTAAAATGTAAACATGTGTGAATGCAAGGTCCTGAAATAAATTAATATCTGCTTTTGTATCAAAAGGAGGATGAAATAAATATGAGGGAGACGAATTGACTTAGTGAGAGGGATGAGGGAGATGAAATTACTCGATGAGATGCGAAAATGAGAAAAGAGTAAGAAAAAATGACTCCTGAGAGGAGAGAATGGAACGAGGTGCAGAAGAGGAAGTGATCTGCTGGGAAGGTGAAGAAACAAAGCAAAGAGAGGAAGATGAAATGACTTGTTGGGAAGAGGATGAAAAAGGCTGAGAATGAAAACACTTGAGGAAAGGATGAAACAAAGATGAGATGATAGGAGAAGAGATGAAATTACTGGATTAGTAAAAGGATTAGGTAATAAAGAGGCGAGAAAAACTAAAAGCTCAACTCCAGGAGCTGAAATTTGAAAAGCAGCTCTGCTCCAATACTCCCCTGCTCTCCAGCGATGCCCCCTTCCCCGATTACTCGCTAGATGTCCTCAGTTTTCCAGGTAGAAAGTTGTGCGGCATCATTTAACCTGGAAGACTGAGGATATACTGTGAGCGCAGGGTGGTCATGGACTTGCCCTTCTACGCCCAAAGTGCGATGATGCAGAATGCGGCACTGATGATATAATGTCAGCGCCACTCTCTACATCAAGGACAGCCCACAAGCAGCAGAAGATCCAAAGAGGAAGTGGAACCTGCATATCATATATGATTGGTCTGAAGACATCTGTGGGGGGCTCGAGGGTGGATGCACTAAGTGGCAGAAGCTTGGAGTTGGGCTTAAAGTGATATTAAAGCCTCCTTTTTTTCTTGTTTGGTGGTAAACCTTGTGTGATCCCTCTAAATGTATTAATCTCCTTCTTTGCAGTTTGTGTCCCCCTCAGCGCTAGCGCAGCTGTCACATTTTTGGGGGTCTCCTTCTCCTTACAGTGTCCCATGAAGTCACTCTTGAGTGCGCATTCCCGGCAAGTGTGCATTCCCTAGATTGGAAAGTCAATTCTTCCCCCCTGTGTCATCCAGTGCACATGCTCCTCTGCAGTCACTGTGTCCTCAGTGCGTGTCCTCCCATACTCGGAAGTTGGGGGTAAGCGGCGCAGTGCAATGTGGAGCAAGCGGGCACAGTAGAGAGAAACAAGTGTCCGGCACACACCATAAATAAATATTGTACTGGGGATTGTTCTCCTGGTTGAGGAGAGTACAAAAGCGCTAAACATTTGTAGCCTTTAGAACTACTTTAAAGAGGAACTTCACCCATATCTGCAAAATAACAACAAAGGCACCTTTAGAAATGCTTAGTAATGACAATCTACAGACACATACTTCTAGATAAATTGCCGGCTTTGCATACCTTATTTCTCTTTTATTTCCCAGTCTGACAGTGGCCATGTTTACTAAAGGCAGATTAGTAGATCTCCCTTTCATCCTGGAACTCTGGCACATGTGACTAGGACTAGCATGTGACCATGCACATCATCTCAGGGGAGGAAAATGCCTTTCCCTGAGATCTCCTGAGATTACAGATGAGATTTCCCAGCAATGCTCTGCTGATGTATCCTGCCCAGGATGCAACGCTTTGGCACATTTCATCATTTGTGCCAGAAGTGGACCAGGAAGGGATTGAACTCTATTTGTAAGTAAATGAAAAACATGTTTTTGTAACTAACGAATGTAAGATGATTTTAAATGAGCGGGCAGAGCTGCATGGTGATGTGACTCTTAGTGAAAGGGGGTAAAGGTCCACTTTAAATTACCATACTGAGAAGAGGGATAAGAAAAGAGAAGCCTTGGTGTTGTTGGAACAAACACTGCTGTGGAACGTGAAAATCTTATGTTAGATGACGATGAAACAAGTAAGGGACAGTAAGATGAAATGACAAAGAAAAAGGAAGGGTTACCAACTTCTGGCACCATGACAGCCAAAGAATCTGAAGCCAGGTGATGTCAGCAAACACTATGTTTGTTTGTTTTTTTGCTGGCAAATGCAGACAATATAACATATGAAGTCCACCTACCTGTACTCCATATCAGTTCTGAGCGAGCCACCTTTTCTTCTTCAGCTCAGGTTGGGCCACCTGATGACGTCTGACATCTACAAGCCATTGTAAACAAAATTTGTGCACGATAATTTTCAGTTAAGAAAATAAACAGAAATCCCAAGTTAAATAGTGTAACTAGTTTTTATTACAATTATGTACATTTATAGTTTAATTTTTCTTTTCATTGGAAATCTATACATTAGCACACTGACGAGCACAGTGGGTTGATGCAATTAAGGGAGCGTGGCACTGCACTTAGGCAATGTAGGTTTCTTCTCTTCATCAACATCTATCATTTTTCTTCCCATATGGCCTCCTCTATTCCCAAAGCATCCAGCACAGTGCAAACTTAGCAATGTTACGGGAAAATATTTGTTTTGTAGAAGCATAAGGATAGGATTTTTCAAGGTCCAGGCAAAATGTATTATACGTCTCATACTTCCTTAGAGCAGAAGATTTACAAGAAAACCCAAATTATTCAAAGAGCAGACAAAAATTTGTGTCAGGTGACAACACCTGCTAAAAACAATCTGTGTCCAGCATGGATTTATTTAACTCTCTGCATTATGATATGGGACATTTAAAGTGTGGGTATAGCCAAAACCTTTTCAGTTTTGGATACAGTAGGTCAGGGTTGGACAAATCCCAGAAGCCAGGTAGCCAATTCTCTTTAAAAAAATGACAGGTGGTGGCTTACTTCTGAGGTTCTCTCTAGCTATTGCCAATGGAGCTGGCTCCTAAAAAATATCCTGTTGGTGCCTGGATTGGACAGGATGGCTCCTGAATTGCATATTCATTTATCCATCCCTGCAGCAGGGAATGATTAAAACCCTTGTCAGTAATTTCTTGCCGATTTCCCTTCACTTTTTGTCTTGGAGAGAAATTCCCCTCTAAGGCCTCATTCACACAGCTTGGAGTTGGGCCTTACAGATCTGTGCGGCATGCATTGTACGCAGCAGCCTGTTCTTCTCTATAGGACGCGGCCGTACGCTCACCCAAGCGGTGCGATTGTATGCGTGCGATTGTACGCAGCAGCCTGTTCTTCTCTATGGGAGGACGCGGCCGTACGCTCACACAAGCTGCGCATCTGTGCGGGTGTCTGCCCTCGGACTCGACAGGATGGATCCTGTCTGCATCCGAGAACGGACACCCGCACGGATGTGCAGCTCGGGTGAGTGTACGGCGGCATACGGCCGCATCCTCCCATAGGGAAGAACAGGCTGCTGCGTGCAAACACACGCAGCACCTGCCCCTCCTGGGAACCGCCTGATATGGTCATGCACGCCGCACTGATCTGTACGGCCCGACTCTAAGCTGTGTGAATGAGGCCTTAGACAGTTGTTACTGAAACAGGTTTCTTCATTGAAAGATTTAACGTACCAATTGTTCTGGTGACAACCATAACATTTTGGATGTCCCATCAATTTCAGCTTCGGTGACAGTGGTCACCAGGACAACTAGAGAGGATGGCTCTACCTAGCAGGGACACGGTCATCAACAGAACCTAACAGGGGTTCTAACCCTTTCCCACTTTATCAAAAAAATAAAGGAAAAGGTTTCGGCTATACTTACACTTTAGGAATTGCGGGTATGGCCCTGGTATGAAAATGCTAACTACAGCAAGCAAGTATTTCTAACATGTAATCATCAGGTGTAGCTCTATTATAGTGTGTGAAAAGGTATTGAAAAAAAATCAGATCCAGACTGGAGAAAGGGCAATGCTGTGAACATCCTTATTTTCACACACAAAAGGATTTTGTGATCAAGATAAGCAGAAACTGAGACCACCAGCCGGGCAAATACTTACTGTTAAAGATTATCTAAAGGAGGAGGGATTCATTCAATCTATTCTGAACGCTGCATACAAATCAAGCACGAATTATAGTGGCATGACCAATGTGTCATAAATTACCCTGGAACAGAACTGGCTAACGCAAGAACGGGGCGAGCCCTTTAAAAATATCTACTTAGAATAGAACCACCTCGACAGGGAATGACTGAAAAGCAGGAGGTGAGGGATCTCTATTCTCTATTTTCTTTATACAAGTGGCTCACATATATAGCATCAGTAGAAAACTCAGATGCAAATTATTTATTTTAAGAAACAACGAAAGACTTGCGCCACGCTCCGGAAAAAAAACAAATTGTGTCTTATTCAACATTGTAGCTAACTATGTTAATTGGTAAGCTTTTATTTGCTCATTCGATTGCAATGCACAACATGTGTAACACTCAGACAAGTCTGTGGCACACGCACACTGCTCACAGTGGGACAAATGGTGATTACAGGTTGTGTGCAAAACACACTACAAGAGGTGATTTAAAAATTGGATGATGGGTGAGCATTCTCTTCTTTCATCTCTACCTCTGGAAAAAGGGACGTGTTCCCCCACAAATAAGGATAGAGCGCATCCCGGCTTCCGTTGTCACGTTTCCTTGCATGCGGGAAGACCGCGGAAAGAGAACTACGGGGATCTATTGAGGAAGGTAAAGTGAATAGATCTGTCATTTACATAGATGGAGAGATCACTGTGCAGACACAATGAGAAGACAGCTGAACGGACAGCGACGCGGAAGAGCACTACAAAAACTCGCTTGCGATAGACATCTGCTTTCGTATAACTGTATATAGAACTGTACCACAATAGATCACACAGTTCCTTGGCGGTATGAACCCTAGAACACGTCAGGGAGATGGAGGTAGCGGGGTGGAGATGCAATCATTCCATCTCGTTGCTGGCTCCTTCTGGCCTACGCAGCTTTTCCACTTGCTCATTGATCTGTCCATCTCCTCCCCGGCGGTCTTCGGTTTGGACCCCCATGCAATCCTCTTCGTCGGCATGTCCAACGTCCTCTTCATCTTCTTCGTCCTCCTCCTCTCCTTGGACTTCCATGCGCACTTGGCTCTGAACGTCGATCTCGGGGTCCTCCTCCCTGGCGGTGGACAGGTGGTGGGAATTGACTTTTGCTCCCTCGGGGCTGTGGTTTTCCTTGACGGGAGAAGAGGAGCCAGACTCATTGCTGACGGGGGAAATGTCACTGCTGCTGTTGTGGTTAACCGTAGCCTGGTTGGGTAAATTGGGAGGTTTCATGGGCATTTGCCAAGCCGGAATCTTAGGTGTAGATGGAGATGGCGGGAATTGCCTCCTGGTAATGGAAAGAGAAAGAAGTCAAAACATGCCATCTGAACTATGCCACAGCTTTATAAATGACTCAGAACAAGATCACCTGAAGTCTACCATTTGCCTGACCTCACATACATTTTCCATGCTGCCGACAGGTCACATCTGTGCCAAATAAGGAAGCCCCCGTAATTAAACAAAATGTAAACAACTTTAGCGCTCTATTATTTGATGCTGTTTTGTGGCCTCGGAAGCTGGCAGACAGTGTGTGATGTCAGGCAGCTTTTCCTTTAAGACAGGAAGCCAGGACTGGAGGAAAGCCGAAGCAGCAAGAAAGGTGTGAAGTATTATCTCAAAGTTATCCATCGGAGTAAAATTGTTCTTTTTAGAAAAAGATTGACAAAGCTTAAACAGGCCGCAGTGAATACGATGTCATCTTTCAGTGCAGTTCAGAAAGTAAAAGCAGAAGTGAGACTTGTTACTGTTAGAAGGTCTCAGTGTGACCACAGGAAGCCTATTTTCTACCATTTGCTGTTCAACTATAAGTCCCAGCATGCTTTTTTTTTTTTAATTACATCTAAATAAATCATCTACTGCCTCCAGCAAGCCGAGGCTAATGGGAGGAACCGTTGTACTTTGGAAGCTTGTTGGAGTTTGCTGTATCTGGTTCTGACGTTATGGTGCCAGCGATGGTCATAAAGAAAATTAATTTGGCTGATAATGCGATATCAATTATAGCATTTCAGTGAATTATAGCTTCGATCGGACCATGATGTCAAATAGGACGGTGAAATTAAAACCTGTAAAAATAATTAAAACGCTCTTCCCAGGACAGCACTAGCTGACTCTGGACATTTAGTCATCGGTGTCTGGATGTGTAGGACATTCTGCTGTCCTGGAATGTACTGGTTACAGCCCGCCAATACAGGCTGTCATGGGGGTCACCTGACCCCCAGTGGAAAGGTGGATGACAATTTATAAAACAGACAGTTTTTTTTATGAAAAAAAAAAAAAAAGAAGCTTTGTACCTGGCAACCAATCAGGATTTCCTAGTGGCTTGAAAAAAAAAAGAAAATACAGCCGAAACGTGTCTGTGCTACGGGTATACAATGATAGGTTTGTATTCAAATCCAGCTCACATATAAACAAAATGGAAACTAAGGGGGGGGGGAGTGATCACATGTAACCCTTAACCCTCTTCTCAATGCTACACATGTAAATGCATGCCTAATAAAATAGGGACAGTTGGCTATTCATATTGAAGTACATTTGTAACTGGCCAGCTTTACGAACAAGAACACCCTTCTGTGAACACAGCTAGATGGGAGATTGCATGGGACAAAGATTGGAGGTATACTGCGTCACAGGTGGAGACGACAATAGCAAAAGGATCCCTGGTGTGCAATATTGATATACTGTATATCACCTTTCAGCTTGATTTGGTTACCACATATACAGTACAAAGCGGCAGTACCAAAAATGTATTACGGTTTTAAAAAATATAACATGATATGAGCTGGAACTTCCCTTGTGATTAAAAAACAAACAAACTGATTCATCATTAAACATCATCATTGAGTTTGAGCCCAGTGACTTTGCCTAAGCTGAGATGATACCATGACTATGCTGCAGACAGGAGGAAGCATTTCCTCAGTTTCCTCTCCTCCGGTGATCACGCTGTACGATGTAACCTGGTAGCGCCTCACAAGGTGAGAGTCTGCTGCAAGAACTGATGCTTGACAGACATTTGTGAACTAAGCCAAGAATTGCACAGACACCAGGATTTACACAATTGTGTCATCTCTCTCATCTAAGTCCAGGAAGTAGTGACCCTGGCTTGTGCCTAAACAAATATTGTGCCATAGGCTTTGTCAGCGGGAGTACTGTGATCTCTGTGAGTGGTAATAAATACCTTTACGCATTACCTAGCACTCTGCACTTGACATGAATTAAAATATGTCTGAGGAAGTCCACTTCATGCCGCATGCACTATTATTTCTGACCGCAAAAAATGCAGGCATTGATGTGCCACGTGTTCCGGTGCAGTTGATCGTACTGCGGTCAGAGGGCGTGGCTGCGGTGCCATTGACCTTAATGCACCGCCACGCCCCGTCCCGCCCCAAAACAAAGTGAGCCAGTCGGGATACGATCCAGTGTGTTCCGGCACCAATCGGGCCTGAACACACTGGGGCTGGTGTGAACTAGCCCTTAAGTTATTCTATCCAGCTTAAGCGGATCCCGACAATTGTGCCGGGATCCGCCCAGCTGCGTGACTGACAGCTGGCTCTGCCTATCTAAAGGCAGAGCCAGCTGTACCCGCCCCCTCCCCCGTCCGTTGCACCAGTCAGCGCTGGCGGATCGGGGAGCGGGGAATCCAGCCCCTCCCCTGTCACGGCAGAGAGCCGTGACAGGATCGAGAGGTGAGCGAACGCCGGTATGTATTCGCTCACCTCCCGATCTACTGAGCCGACCTGTGACAGTCTCATTGTCACAGGTCGGCTAGAACTATGAGGTGAGTGGAAATCAAAAACGGAACACATGAATGAAGTGACTGCCCTGCCAGCATCTCCACCACAACCTCCAGTACCTGTTCAGCAGCAACCCTTTCAGAGAGTAGATTTCAGACTTTAACTCCTGGATGTTCTGAGATTCCAGAATAGTGTTAGATGAATTGAAGGCCTACAAAGCACAAAGAGAAATATCATGGTTAAAAACTGAAAGAAATGTATTAAATACTGTTTACATTTACAATGAGTACCTGAGAAAACCTCAACGGAATTGCAGAAAACAACTACCCTTTCTAAGGGACAATCACCGTTTATGAGGACCCATGACAAAGATTGTAACAGTCATAATACATAACAAAATTATTTTTTAGCATCTCTGTATGCCCATAGTAAGTGAGTGGTTCTAAGTCAGCCTTCCCCAACCTGGGAGCCTTCTGGCTTTGTCAGGGGTGCCTTCAATTTTTGCATAGTGTCATGCATTTTAATGGTGCAAAAGAACCAGCCACTGGACTGCATCCAGGACCTCATCTAGCATTCAGAAGAGGACAGAAGTTTGCCTCAGTCCAGACGTGCTCCACCTTCCGCCCTCTGCCATGCTCCTGCAGCGGCAATGTGATGAAGAATATAAAGTAGGACTGTGATGTTATGGGGGGGGGGGGGGGGGGACTTGGGGGG